CTCCTCACGAAATGGAGTCTTTGCTCCGCTGCAAGTCTCCTTCTACCACTCTCCCATTGATATATTTCGTTGCTTCCTCTTCGTACCTTTCACGCGACGGTCAATGAGATGGTGTATAGCAGATTGTATAATAATAAATAGTATAACAGTGTAATGTCTAATATAATGTATAAGGTAATATATAGTATCGTAATTGTATAGTGAATATACAGCAGTGTGGTATACAGTAGGGTGTGTAGAATAATACATAGTCTAATATTACAATGCATAGTCTAAGGTAGTGTATAGTAACGCAGTGTATAATTCAATGTTGGGTTGGTCTATGGCAGTGTATAGTACGGGGTATATGCGTGTGATGTAAGAAAAAAGTTTAGCTGGAGGCATATTATTTTTTTTGCGACATAGAAGTGTAATGTATAACTTACTGTTAGTATCTCAGCTTATTGGAGAGTATATTGAGTATATTGATTACATTGATGTATTTTATATTTTAGTTTTTTATCGGTTCACTATATGATAGTCATTATATAGTGTAGCGTATACCCAGTTACTTAATGTTAATAGCTCAGCTTATTGGAGAGTATATTGAGCACATTGATTACACTGGTCAACAAAAAAAAAAGATTTCTGGCCTGGACTTTTGCAGCTGTTTTAGACTAGTTTCAGGGTGCCGATTCCAAATCTGATCTCAGATTTGCTCTATCACATCATTTTTAAATCCTTTATATTAAGTTCGCGTGCTTGCGTGCTTGCTTGCTTAGGACCGTGCAAATCTTTCGGTCGTTTTTTAACCCACTTCCCGTGATCCAATCGAGCTGACATTTTCCACACAGACTCGTTGTGCCAGACAATTATTGTTCGTGAAAAAAAATTCCCAAAATGTTACACTTTTTAGGCAAAAAAAAAATATTTTACATATATTCAGATAGAACTAATTCATGGCTTTGGCTGAACGTCAGAGTGTAAGAGCCAAGAGCGTAACCCCTCCACAGGCCGTGGCGGAGTAGCGCAGTTGGTAGCGCCCTCGCTTCCCATGCCAAAGGTCGCGGGATCGATCCCCGCGTCCTCCACAGGCGAATATATTTTTAAATCCTTTATATTAAGTTAGCTGCCACGCATATAAAGGATTTATAGTGAAAAACTTTGTTTTTACGGGTTATACTTATATGCTATCGGCATACTCCATTTTCATTGATTTTACCCGAAATTTACTCTGTCACTTATGATTGCAAGTTGTTGCGAGTCAGTGACTGCTTTAGTGTTAAAATATGGTGCTGTATTTTTAGGATAGTGTGTTTATGATATCATTTTATGTAGATATCCACATTTATTTAATATTTTTCTTCTGCAGTTTTCATTGAAAATGCAATATTTCATATCTCAAAAACCTGATGTGATAGACAAAAACTGATGCCAGATTTGGAGTCAGAACCCCAAAATTACCTTAAACCCCTTGGAATACCTTATGCCAGAAAAAGTGTGTTGACCAGTGTTATATTGATAACACTGCTAAATTCCTCTTGATATGTAAATGCCTTTGTCAAGGCGCCCTCCTCCTCTAACCCAGCTTAAATATACGCTGCCAAGCTTGGCGGTGTTCATTGGGACGCTGTCTTTCCGACAGCTCTGTTTCTTCACCTGAGGACGGCTGCTTGTGTTGTAGCCGAAACGTCGTGATAATTATTTTATTATGTTTTATTTTTATTAGTCATGTAGAAGGGAAATAATCAAAATAAAACAAAAAATACAATTATTATGTTTTATTCAATAATAAAAATATAAAAATAAAACATAAAATACAATTATTCTGTTTATTTTTTATTATTTTATTACTTCCCTTCTACGTGACTTTACCGAAAGAACCAAGAAGATTTCGATTTAAAGCTTTCGTGACTGCAGGGATTCATCTTCTTGGTTCTTTCGGTAAAGTCACGTAGAATAATAAAATAATAAAAATAAAACATAATAAAATAATTGTATTATGTTTTATTTTTATTATTTTATTATTTCCATTCTACGTGACTTTACCGAAAGAACCAAGAAGATGAACCAAGAAGATGAATTAGTTTAGTTGCGAAGAGGCTCGGCCTGCCGTACCCACCAAGGTTCAGCAGGACGGCGTGGTTCTGCTTGATGTTCCTGTAGCGCCGCTTCTCGCACTCGGCCAGATCGCTCCACTCGGCCTTGGTGAAGAAGCCTCTGATGTCTCGGAAGTCGCCCATCTCCTGCTGCTGCTGCTGCTGAGGCGCAGAGACACGGAGGGACGAGACGCGGACGACGGTCAGACGCAGTCACGGAGATGGAGTCACATGGAGACAGAGTCACAGGGATACGAGACTAAGATCCCCCGTGTGGCCTTAACAGACTGTCGGGTCAAGCGCTGTGAGCGAGCGGCGCCTATGAAGGCCGGAACGACACACGAGGGGGTGGGTGGCCAGCACCACGCCCGGCCGCCTTTGTCTCCCCAGTGGCGATGTTCACTACACACCGTTACACCAGGAACTCATTTGAGGCTGAGTCGACCTAGGGGAAGAGGCCCAGGACCGGTCAGAGACTCCAGTTCCATTCCCGCTCACGGCCACCACCAACAGCGGTGACGATCATCTGAACCGGTCGTGGACCTCATCCCCTAGGTCGACTCAGCCTCAAATGAGCACCCGGTGTAACGGTGTGTGAACATCGCCACTGGGGAGACAAAGGCGGCCGGGCGTGGTGCTGGCCACCCACCCCTCGTGTGCCACAGCGCCGGTAGCCTTAGTAGGTGCTGCTCGCTAACAGCCTGTTAGAGGCTACACGGGGGATCTTTGTCTTTGTGGTAAAGTGTGTGAACTCCCACCTCTACCATGACGTACTAGCTCCAGCTTTACCTCCACCTGAGGTAACCTCAGGTTACCTAAGATAGAGGTAACCTTTACCTCAGATGAGGTAACATTACCTCAGGTGAGGTAACTTTACCTTAGGTAGAGGTAAAGTTACCTCTATCCGAGGTAAAGTAACATTACCTCAGGTGAAGTAACTTTACCTCATGTGAGGTAACATTAACTCAGGTAAATGTAACATTTGAGGTAAACCGAACGTATTCACATCACTTCAGCTAATGCCCATATTGTAATATTCTCACGTAGTTAAATCATTAAACACAATTATCGCGTGATTATTACCTCAGGGTAAGGTAATCGGAATGCAATGGAAGGTGAGGTAACTTTACCTCAGGCGACGTAACTTTACCTCGCGGGAGGTAACATCGCCTCAGGTAAATGTAACATTACTTGAGGTAATCCGAACGTATTCACATCACTTCAGCTAATGCTCATATTTTTACGCTAATATCGTAATATCGTCACGTGGTTAAATCGTTAAACACAACGCTCGCGTGACGTCACCACCTCAGTGTCGAGCCGTCGACACTTCACGCGGCAGCCTCGAAGTGCACCCAGCCTGGCACAGGCGCCGTGGTGACGTCACCGTCACTCAGTGGCCAATGGCGGCGGTTGGTGGTGGTGGGGGGGGGGGTGGGGGGGAGGAGGGGAGTGGGGAGTGGGGGGGCGAGACGCGTGACGTCACCACGCAGTGACGTCATCAGTTTTAAGAGTTTAAATTTTTATTCTGGAAGAATCCGATGAGCTGTGAAGCTCTTTGTCCAGTAGGGGCACGTGGTCAGAACTCAATAACAACAAACACAACACAATAAACACCGTAGCAGTGCAGAGTATAGGAAAGGTAGGCACATGACCAAAACACATCTTTAGGGGCGTGTGAATTGAAGTCTGTAGGGGCGTGTGAATTGAAGTCTGTAGGGGCGTGTGAATTGAAGTCTGTAGGACAGTGTGATGTGTAATTTTGTTGGGTCATAGTTTTACCATCCTTGAGGTGCAGGGTTGACGACTGGGATTGGTGTTGTTAGGATTAGCAGTGAGAAGTTGTGACCAGGTGCTGCTGTGTGTAACGACTACAGATAACGCCAGGGGGGGGGGGAGTTTAAGAGCCGGGAGCCGACAGCTTGGGGCTCGCAGTGGCTACAGCGACTATTGGAACGGTCGATGCGGCCTCTGCGTTAAACAGCAGAAGACAACGGCACAGTCTGGTTCTCCTACAACGCCGCGTGTTAGTTTGAACAACGCCGATTGGATGATATAACGCCATGAATGATGTGTAGGGGAACACGCTGTTTGTGACGCGGATGCGGATTGGATGCAACGCGAGCGAGCGAACGGAACGAGGTCGCAACGCGAGTAGGAACAAGCGGTTCTCCGTGCGGCTGCCTCGGCGTAGCGGCATCACGCGAGGAGGCATTGGGATGCTGCTGGATGCTGCTTCTAGACGCTACCCACGCGCCTCAGTCGTAGTCCGGCCTCTGTCTTACCCATCATCTCGCGTGTTGTCGCGGACCACGCTTCACCCCCCATAGTTTATATTATTTCTCCACAACGCGGTGTTCTTCAGGAACGCAACAATGACCACCTCTTCTTGGTTCTTTCGGTAAAGTCACGTAGAATGGAAATAATAAAATAAATAAAATAAAACATGATAAAGAAAATGTTAATTTGTATTATTTTATTATTAAATAAAAATAATAATTATAAAACAATGACTTTATTGTTTAAATTTTATTATTTTATTATTTCCATAAAAATAAAACATAATAAAGTAAATGTTTATTTTTATTATTCTATTATTAAATAATAAAATAATAAAAATAAAACAATTACTTTCTTGTTTTATTTTTATTATTTTATTATTTCCATAAAAATAAAACATAATAAAGTAAATGTTTATTTTTATTATTCTATTATTAAATAATAAAATAATAAAAATAAAACAATTACTTTATTGCTTTATTTTTATTATTTTTATTATTTCCATAAAAATAAAACATAATAAAGTAAATGTTTATTTTTATAATTTTATTATTAAATAATAAAACAATAAAAATAAAACAATTACTTTATTGTTTTATTTTTATTATTTTATTATTTCCATTCTACGTGACTTTACCGAAAGAACCAAGAAGATGAATCCCTGCAGTCACGAAAGAAGCTTTAAATCGAAATGACCACCGCGTTACAGGAGAACAACAGATCGTGAACGCGCTTCGACGATTCGTGGCAACGGCAACACAAAGCGCCACGCGCAGTCTCTTGCGACCAGCGGTGTCTGTGATGAAGGTTTTTGTCGTCGTCGTTGCTGTTGCTGCTGCTGGGTTAGATGGCGTTGGATCACAATCCTGGCACATCGCCCGATGAACCCGGTCGCCGTTGTTTGTAATCACCGGCGAAACGTCACCGGTACTCCAATTGTAAATGCTGTTGTGGGTTCACTCTCCCCGACACACAAGCGCTGTGTGTGCTGAAGTTGGTAACCAATTGGCACGTTTCGTTTACGTGACAAACCCTGACTGAATGGCCGTGTCAGGCGATGGTGGTGGGTGGTGGGTTAACGACACAATGTTGATGTTTACGAGATCTCTAACCCAACAACAACAACAAAAACCAAACCTCTGTCACGGAAAAGTGTCACCACAGAGTAAGTCGCTCCGACCTCCTGGAGATACCGGTGTAACAGGCTAAAAATTAACCCGTAAAAACAAAGTTTTTCACTATAAATCCTTTATATGCGTGGCGGCTAGAGTCCTCTCGTCCTCTGGCTTGAGATGACTGCCACCTATGGGTCAGATGATTGCCGGCCACCATTAAGCAATTGGTAATTAAATAAAAAAAAAAATTCCTAAAAAGTGGAAAATTTTGGAAAAAAAATTTCACGAAAATAAATTGTCACGCACAACGAGTCTGTGTGAAAAATGTCAACTCGATTGGATCACGGGAAGTGGGTTAAAAACGACTGAAAGATTTGCACGGTCGTAAGCGCGCAAGCAAGCAAGCAAGTGAACTTAATATAAAGGATTTTTAAAAAAAACCCTGCCCCGATTAAACCCGGGTATAGTTTGGCCCAGGCCAGAGTATACCCGGGGGGATAAAGTGTCCTCGGCTAAACTAGACCCGGGGGTTTAAACTAGACTGGTCCAGACCATACCCCCCTCCAGGGCAGAATATGCCCCATGTGAAAGTTCAAAGGCAATTATCCACACAGAGAACAGCCGACAACGAACTTCAATCGACATCTAAAAAGCGTATAAATGGAAGTAAGAATCTCAATTTGATCAATTTAAGCATTTTTAGGGTTAGGGTTATTATTAAAGTTTTTCTGGTTGAAGCAATCAAAGTCTATGTAAAATTTCGATTTAAAGCTTTCGTGACTGCAGGGATTCATCTTATTGGTTCTTTCGGTAAAGTCACGTAGAAGGTAAATAATAAAATAATGAAAATAAAACGTAATGAAAAAATATAATAATATAATATTTTATATAATAATAATAAAATAATAGAATATATTACTATAATAAAGTAATATAAAATAATAATATAACCAAATAACATAAAATAATATTAGAATATAATTTATTATGTTTTATTTTTATTATTTTATTATTTCCCTTCTACGTGACTTTACCAAAAGAACCAAGAATATAGTAGATTTTAGTTTTACTTCACTTTACTTTTCCAGGTAAGGCCCCCACTGAGCTGTGTAGTAGCGACCTGGCTATCACAAATGACAGCAGCGCACCGAAGTGGCTTATCACGTGACATTTACAGCAGCCAAATACTCTGAACGCATGTTGAGATGTTAACTACCTCTCCTGGTATACAGGAGATCGTTGGTTCGATTCCGACCCTGACGCCTGCTGTATATTTTGAGTTTGCGCGTCTCTCTCTCCCCGTGGTCGTGTGGATTTTTCTCCAGGTCCTCCGGTTTTCCCTCGACATTTAGAATCGAGATCACGCAGTCAGAGTATTTGGCCGCTATAAATGTCCACACAATGATAAGCCACTTCGTTGAGCTTTCATTCGTGATGGCCAGGTGGTCACGTCTGATAAAAGAGCTACTACGTATCCAGTTGGACTTTATTTGGTAAAATCCCAAAAAAAATTTTGTTAGTTTAAGTATGTACATATATAATTGTAAACAGAATCACAAACTAACGCTCAACTTTCTTAAACGTGTAAGAGTCAACGCGCGCCACCACCGTGCGACATCACGCGAGCAACCGGGACGACGCAGAGAATCTCTCAACCCTTTCCCGCGTCCGAGACGTCTGCAGAGTTCCAGGGTCGGTGGGTGTCACCGTTCACGGGGTGGGTGTCACCGTTCACGGGGTGGGTGTCACCGTTCACGGGGTGGGTGTCACCGTTCACCGCAGAATCCCGCGAATCGAGCGCGCGGCTCGCCCTCGTTAATTCTATTTAGAGAGGCGCAGCAGTGGCAGCAGCAGCACTGCTGTTGTTGTTGTTATAAAGACGTCGTTGCTCACCGCAGAGAAGCGTAGCGACACGACCGCCGCCACTCTGCGCTAGCCGGCGCCAAAACTGTGCCACACTCCCTGCCCCGCGTGGCCCTGTGGGAGCCTCGGTACCGATAAAGTTACTTTAGTTTTTACTGCGTTTTGTTGTTCCGACGACGACGTTCACGCACGGCACGCGGCGTCGTCGCAACTGCAAAGGGTTAAGTTCACGCTGGGAACATTTTCAACGGGGGAGGCAGCAACAACACGCAGGGTGATCCAAGGGCAGATGCCCCACTCATACCTACACCCCCCTCCCAACGCCCCCTCGGAATATTTTTTCAGACCGCAGGAATCCGATGAGCTATGAAGCTCTTCTTCGCAGATCTCCAGCCGTTCCACAGATGTCCTCTCCTAGCACCCCCCCCCACCTCCTCCCCGTAGCTTTCCTCTCAGCAGCAAAGTGAATATCGCGCAAGCGATGGCTCGGGGCTACGGTACTGAGTCAGAGGTCGCAAACGGGTTTTGATTCCTTACCCAGACCCGGCCGCACCAGCGTCGTAAACAGGTACCCGTACCCGGTATCGGGTACCTGATTGCGACCTCTGGGGTGAAGCCATGTTGCAGGCGCGGGTGGGTTGATTCTAGGAACTTGAATTGTGAGAAGAGACAAGACGTTGGGAAATGAGTGACAGTTACTCACCAGTGACTCACGGTCTACACGTACCCGGCCGCACCAGGGTCGCAAACGGCTACCCGTACCCGGCCGGGTATCGGGTAGGGTACGGGTATCGGGTACCCGGTTGCGACCTCTGGACTGAGTGTTCGGAGATTTGTGAGCGGATGCCACCTTCGTCATCGGCCACGGTTCAGTCTACCGCTGGATGGGTACGTACTGTACGTACTGTACGTACGTCTCACGGGGCAGGGCTACGAGACGGCACGCGGTGCGCATGGAGACCGGCGGGAGACGTGCAGACTGGGGTGTCTGTAGGTGGATCACCCTGCGGTGCCCCCCTCTAGGGTAACAACAGTACAGCTCTGCACGGGGGACTCTGCACACTCACACACACAGGGACCCCCAGGTGATGGGGGTGGGGGGGGGACGTGCAGTGGTTGGGACCTAGAACTCCGCACTTGCAATCTAGGGGTGGCCGGGTCGGTTTAATCTCCCACCCCCCACAGAGTGTGAGGCAGGTGTAGGAGGGTTCGTAGGTTTCCGTGTTCACATTCAAAATCAGTTTCAAGAGTGGCACAGCCTCGGCTAATCACGTGGCCTGTTGTTTAAAACTAATTCACAGCTCGGCGCTGTGCGCTTTTTGCTCAGGATGGCTGACTTTTCTGTTTTCACGGGAATGAGAAAATGCATTCTGGCCGGTGTGTGTTCTCTGGTGGCTGTGAAGAGTTGATATCCATGCAAACGCCTTCTCACACACGGTGCACTTGAACGGCTTCTCTCCCGTGTGTGTTCTCTGGTGGCTGTGAAGATGTGGTAGCTGTGCAAACGCCTTCTCACACACGGTGCACTTGAACGGCTTCTCTCCCGTGTGGGTTCTCTGGTGGCTGTGAAGATGTGATAGCCATGCAAACACCTTCTCACACACGGTGCACTTGAACGGCTTGTCTCCCGTGTGTGTTCTCTGGTGCCTGTGAAGATTTGGTAGCTGTGCAAACGCCTTCTCACACACGGTGCACTTGAACGGCTTCTCTCCCGTGTGTGTTCTCTGGTGCATCTTCAAGCTACACTTGTAGTCTGTGCTGAATGGACATTGGTCACACTGATGACTTTTGTTACTGGGCTTAGTGGGGTGTCTGCTCTGCACGTGATACTGTAGACTCGAGCGGCAGATGAACTGACGGTTGCAGACAGGACACGGCAGCCTTGTCACCTCCACACCCACTCCACCTGCGTCATCCCAGAGGCACAAGACACACGCGCACACACCAACACCGATACATGAACACTCTTGCACACGTGTGTGTGTACATACAAAGGTAAAGGTCCCCAACAGCCATATCAGACTGTTGGGCAAGTGCTGTTTGCGAGTACCTATGAAGGCCGGCATGGCACACGAGGGAGTAGGTGGCCAACACCAGGCCCGGCCGCCTTTGTCTCTCCAGTGGCGATGTTTCCACGTTTAAGCTAGGTACTCATTTGAGGCTGTCAGCCTAGGGGAGGCCTAAATATTCACCACTGACGTTGGCCGTGAGTGGGAATCGAACTCAGGTGGCCGGGTTCGTAGTGCAGTGGGCTCCATTATATATACACACAAAGACGAAGAACCCCCATATAGCCTGTATATACTTTTGGGACAAGTGCTGTTATCGGGCACCTACAGTGAGGGAAAAAAGTATTTGATCCCCTGCTGATTTTAAAAAATGCAAATCAATTTATAACATTTTTGACATGCGTTTTTCTGGATTTTTTGTTGTTGTTATTCTGTCTCTCACGGTTCAAATAAACCTACCATTAAAATTATAGACTGATCATTTCTTTGCCAGTGGGCAAACGTACAAAATCAGCAGGGGATCAAATCCTTTTTTCCCTCACTGTATGAAAGCCAGCATGGCACATGAGTGGGAGGGTGGCCAGCACCACACATGGCCGCCTTTGTCTCCCCAGTGGCGATGTTTACTACTACACACCACACCAGTTACTCATTTGCACCTTATCAGTGTGGGTGGTGCCTATCATCTCTGGTGAGTGGTGGCTATCATTTCTGGTGAGTGGTGGCTATCATCTGTTGTTAGTGGTGGCTATCATCTCTGGTGAGTGGTGGCTATCATCTCTGGTGAGTGGTGGCTATCATCTCTGGTGAGTGGTGGCTATCATCTCTGGTGAGTGGTGGCTATCATCTCTGGTGAGTGGATGCTATCATCTATGGGGAGTGGTGGCTATTATCTTTGGTGAGCAGTGGCTATCATCTCTGTTGAGTGGTGGCTATCATCTCTGGTGAGTGGTGGCTATCATCTCTGGTGAGTGGTGGCTATCATCTCTGGTGAGTGGATGCTATCATCTATGGGGAGCGGTGGCTATTATCTTTGGTGAGCAGTGGCTATCATCTCTGTTGAGTGGTGGCTATCATCTCTGGTGAGTGGTGGCTATCATCTCTGGTGAGTGGTGGCTATCATCTCTGGTGAGTGGTGGCTATCGTCTCTGGTGAGTGGTGGCTATCATCTCTGGTGAGTGGTGGCTATCATCTCTAGTGAGTGGTGGCTATCATCTCTAGTGAGTGGTGGCTATCATCTCTGGTGAATGGATGCTATCATCTATGGGGAGTGGTGGCTATTATCTTTGGTGAGCAGTGGCTATCATCTCTGTTGAGTGGTGGCTATCATCTCTAGTGAGTGGTGGCTATCGTCTCTGGTGAGTGGTGGCTATCATCTCTGGTGAGTGGTGGCTATCATCTCTGGTGAGTGGTGGCTATCATCTCTGGTGAGTGGTGGCTATCATCTCTGGTGAGTGGTGGCTATCATCTCTGGTGAGTGGTGGCTATCATCTCTGGTGAGTGGTGGCTATCATCTCTGGTGAGTGGTGGCTATCATCTCTGGTGAGTGGTGGCTATCATCTCTGGTGAGTGGTGGCTATCATCTCTGGTGAGTGGTGGCTATCATCTCTGGTGAGTAGAGGCTATCATCGCTGGTGAGTGGTGGCTATCATCTCTGGTGAGTGGTGGCTATCATCTCTGGTGAGTGGTGGCTATCATCTCTGGTGAGTGGTGGCTATCATCTCTGGTGAGTGGTGGCTATCATCTATGGGGAGTGGTGGCTATTATCTTTGGTGAGCAGTGGCTATCATCTCTGTTGAGTGGTGGCTATCATCTCTGGTGAGTGGTGGCTATCGTCTCTGGTGAGTGGTGGCTATCATCTCTGGTGAGTGGATGCTATCATCTATGGGGAGTGGTGGCTATTATCTTTGGTGAGCAGTGGCTATCATCTCTGTTGAGTGGTGGCTATCATCTCTGGTGAGTGGTGGCTATCACCTCTGGTGAGTGGATGCTATCATCTATGGGGAGTGGTGGCTATTATCTTTGGTGAGCAGTGGCTATCATCTCTGTTGAGTGGTGGCTATCGTCTCTGGTGATCGGTGGTTATCATCTCTGGTGAGTGGTGGCTATCATCTCTAGTGAGTGGTGCCTATCATCTCTGGTGAGTGGTGGCTATCATCTCTGGTGAGTGGTGGCTATAGTCTGGTGAGCAGTGGCTATCATCTCTGGTGAGTGGTGGCTATCATCTCTGGTGAGTGGTGGCTATCATCTCTGGTGAGTGGTGGCTATCATCCCTGGTGAGTGGTGGCTATCATCTCTGGTGAGTGGTGGCTATCATCTCTGGTGAGCGGTGGCTATCATCTCTGGTGAGTGGTGGCTATCATCACTGGTGAGTGGTGGCTATCATCTCTGGTGAGTGGTGGCTATCATCTCTGGTGAGTGGTGGCTATCATCTCTGGTGAGTGGTGGCTATCATCTCTGGTGAGTGGTGGCTATCATATCTGGTGAGTGGTGGCTGTCATCTCTGGTGAGTGGTGGCAATCATCTCTGGTGAGTGGTGGCTATCATCTCTGGTGTGTGGTGGCTATCATCTCTGGTGAGTGGTGGCTATAATCTCTGGTGAGTGGTGGCTATCGTCTCTGGTGAGTGGTGGCTATAATCTCTGGTGAGTGGTGGCTATCGTCTCTGGTGAGTGGTGGCTATCATCTCTGGTGAGTGGTGGCTATCATCTCTGGTGAGTGGTGGCTATCGTCTCTGGTTAGTGGTGGCTATAGTCTCTGGTGAGTGGTGGCTATCGTCTCTGGTGAGTGGTGGCTATAATCTCTGGTGAGTGGTGGCTATCATCTCTGGTGAGTGGTGGCTATCATCTCTGGTGAGTGGTGGCTATCATCTCTGGTGAGTGGTGGCAATCATCTCTGGTGAGTGGTGGCTATAATCTCTGGTGTGTGGTGGCTATCATCTCTGGTGAGTGGTGGCTATAATCTGTGGTGAGTGGTGGCTATCGTCTCTGGTGAGTGGTGGCTATCATCTCTGGTGAGTGGTGGCTATAATCTCTGGTGAGTGGTGGCAATCATCTCTGGTGAGTGGTGGCTATCATCTCTGGTGAGTGGTGGCTATAGTCTGGTGAGCAGTGGCGAGTCTCTGGTGAGCGGTGCTCACAGTGTTCCTCGCTTGGTGGAGGCTGCACGGGCTGCAGGTCTCTGGCGGTGGCCCTGGGAGCCATCTCGTTGCTGCTGCTGCGGCGTAGCGAGGGCCCGGCCTCGCAGGCGATGCCCAGCTCCTGGGCGAACTCCTCGCCGTACCAGACCAGCAGCTCAGAGCCGGGCCCCACGGCACGGAACGTGCGGTAGTAAATCTGCCCCCGGTGCTGGAAGGCCACCAGGTTCTGCTCCTGCTCATTCCTCGCGCAGTTGACGAACCTGCGCGGGCAGACGCGGCGGCGGGGTGGGCGCCGTTAGCGAGCGCCTATTAAGGGCCGGCACTGGGCGCTACGTGGGGGTGGTGTGGCTGGAACCACGCTCCGTACCGGGTGCTCATTTGATGCCGAGTCGACCAAGGGGAGGCCCAGGGTTGGTCTCTGTGTGTAGTGGTTCTGGTCTCTTTAGTGGTTCTGGTCTCTGTGTGTGGTGGTTCTGGTCTCTGTGTGTAGTGGTTCTGGTCTCTGTGTGTGGTGGTTCTGGTCTCTGTGTGTGGTGGTTCTGGTCTCTGTGTGTGGTGGTTCTGGTCTCTGTGTGTGGTGGTTCTGGTCTCTGGGGTGTGGTGGTTCTGGTCTCTGTGTGTGGTGGTTCTGGTCTCTGAGTGTAGTGGTTCTGGTCTCTGTGTGTGGTGGTTCTGGTCTCTGTGTGTGGTGGTTCTGGTCTCTGTGTGTGGTGGTTCTGGTCTCTGTGTGTGGTGGTTCTGGTCTCTGTGTGTGGTGGTTCTGGTCTCTGAGTGTAGTGGTTCTGGTCTCTGTGTGTAGTGGTTCTGGTCTCTGTGTGTGGTGGTTCTGGTCTCTGTGTGTAGTGGTTCTGGTTTCTGTGTGTAGTGGTTCTGGTCTCTGTGTGTGGTGGTTCTGATCTCTGTGTGTAGTGGTTCTGGTCTCTGTGTGTGGTGGTTCTGGTCTCTGTGTGTGGTGGTTCTGGTCTCTGTGTGCAGTGGTTCTGGTTTCTGTGTGTAGTGGTTCTGGTCTCTGTGTGTGGTGGTTCTGGTCTCTGTGTGTGGTGGTTCTGGTCTCTGTGTGTAGTGGTTCTGGTCTCTGTGTGTGGTGGTTCTGGTCTCTGTGTGTAGTGGTTCTGGTTTCTGTGTGTAGTGGTTCTGGTCTCTGTGTGTGGTGGTTCTGGTCTCTGTGTGTGGTGGTTCTGGTATCTGTGTGCAATGGTTCTGGTTTCTGTGTGTAGTGGTTCTGGTCTCTGTGTGTGGTGGTTCTGGTCTCTGTGTGTGGTGGTTCTGGTCTCTGTGTGTAGTGGTTCTGGTCTCTGTGTGTGGTGGTTCTGGTCTCTGTGTGTAGTGGTTCTGGTTTCTGTGTGTAGTGGTTCTGGTCTCTGTGTGTGGTGGTTCTGGTCTCTGTGTGTGGTGGTTCTGGTCTCTGTGTGTGGTGGTTCTGGTCTCTGTGTGCAGTGGTTTCTGGTTTCTGTGTGTAGTGGTTCTGGTCTCTGTGTGTGGTGGTTCTGGTCTCTGTGTGTGGTGGTTCTGGTCTCTGTGTGTAGTGGTTCTGGTCTCTGTGTGTGGTGGTTCTGGTCTCTGTGTGTGGTGGTTCTGGTCTCTGTGTGTAGTGGTTCTGGTTTCTGTGTGTAGTGGTTCTGGTCTCTGTGTGTGGTGGTTCTGGTCTCTGTGTGTGGTGGTTCTGGTCTCTGTGTGCAGTGGTTTCTGGTTTCTGTGTGTAGTGGTTCTGGTCTCTGTGTGTGGTGGTTCTGGTCTCTGTGTGTGGTGGTTCTGGTCTCTGTGTGTAGTGGTTCTGGTCTCTGTGTGTGGTGGTTCTGGTCTCTGTGTGTGGTGGTTCTGGTCTCTGTGTGTAGTGGTTCTGGTTTCTGTGTGTAGTGGTTCTGGTCTCTGTGTGTGGTGGTTCTGGTCTCTGTGTGTGGTGGTTCTGATCTCTGTGTTGTGGTCCTTAAGACAAAAATCACCTCATCCAGTTTGACTTAGATTCATCCTGAGCATCAACATATTCACGATCCTTTTTGTTTTTGTAAATCTGAAAGACACACGCACACGAGCAGATCCACGGATAATTAACGTGAATTGGACTGTAAGTTGAACTTCTTTCGTACCGTACTTAGCCAACCATGCTGATCGGAGGTGCGGGAGAAGGACAACAAACTAAACACCAAAATCAGTTCTATAGAAATGCGTTTTCAACCTACAAGATTTAAAAGTGCATAGCTCTCAGTGGCTTCCTAACATTGGAAGGAAGAACCTTCCAGACGGCCGCAGAAGTGCATCTGTAAGCGCCACGCCATGCGGTGACCACCGTCTTTGCTGTGTGTTACAAGTTGAAATTAGAATTACGTTAATTTTTGGGTCTCTCTGTGATTCTGGGGTCTCTCTGAAATTCTTTGGGTGAGTCTCTAGGTCTCTGTACGAGTCTATGGGTTTCTATGCGAGTCTCTGGGTCTCTGTGCAAGTCTCTATGGTCTTTGTGTGAGTCTGTGGGTCTCTCGGTGCGATTCTCTGGGTCTCTGTGCGAGTCTGTGGGTGACTGTGTGGGGCTCTGGGTCTCTGTGTGAGTCTGTGGGTGACTGTGTGAAGCTATGGGTCTCTGTGCGAGTCTATGGGTCTCTGTGTGAATCTATGGGTCTCTGTGCGAGTCTATGGGTCTCTGTGCGAGTCTATGGGTTTCTGTGCGAGTCTATGGGTCTATGTGCGAGTCTATGTGTCTCTGTGTGAGTCTATGGGTATCTGTGAGCATGAACAGAGTTTGCGTGATGATGGTTTATGCTTCTTGACGAGATCAGCGGCGAGGTATCATGGTTTATTTGTGTGTAAGGAGTGCGTGAGGCAGAACCACTTGTCTGTGGTTCCTCCTCGCGCATTGAAGTTGTTCTGTCCTTGCGAGCGAGCGGCTACTGTGGGTTACAAGTTTAACTCGTAATTACGTTAATTTTTTGGGTCTCTCTGTGAGTCTGTGGGTCCCTCTGTGAGTCACTGAGTCTCTGTGCAAGTCTCTAAGGCTCTGTGCGAGTCTCTGGGTCTCTGTGTGAGACTGTGGGTCTCTGTGCGATTCTCTGGGTCTCTGTGCGAGTCTCTGTGCAAGTCTCTGGGTCTCTCTGTGAGTCTGTGGGTCTCTGTGCGATTCTCTGAGCCTATGTGTGAGTATCTGGGTCTCTCTGTGCGAGTCTCTGGGTCTCTGTGTGAGTCTGTGTGTCCCACTGTGAGTCTCTGGGTCTCTGTTCAAGTCTCTAGGTCTCTGTGCAAGTCTGTGGGTCTCTCTATGCGAGCCTCTGGGTCTCTGTGCAAAGTCTCTGGGTCTCTCTGTGCCAGTTTCTGGGTGACTGTGTGAGTCTGTGGGGGACTGTGTGAGGCTATGGGTTTCTCTGTATCTCCTTCACGAGCCTCCTCTCCACACACACGATGATGATGTAGGAATAGGAGGAGGCTGCAGCAGTGGCAGTGGCAGCAGCAGCAGCTCACCAGCCAGCAGTACTCGCTCATGGGGTTCTCCTCAGACACCTCTCCCTGGTAGGGCCCAAACATCACCCCCTTGGGCAGCTTCTTCCTGTTGCTCCACACCCCGAGGCCGGCGCCGGCGATGGAGGAGGCGCCGACGGTGAGGCCCTGGGGCAGGCTGAGCCGGGCCCTGTTGGCCACTCCCGGGGCCACGGCCGCGTCCGCGATGAACTCTGGCGGGCCGTGCACGGAGCACTCCCCCAGGTAGAAATCCCTGCACAGCTCGCAGACTGAGAGCCACAGCAGCAGCAGCGGGAGGAGGGTGAACCGCAGTAGCAACAGCAGCAGCAGCAGTGGCACTGTGAGAGGGTGAGAGGGTGAGGAGCGCTCCAGACAGATGCCTCCCTCCCTCCCTCTCTGCATGGGGAACTTCTTTAGCTCGCTCATCGGAGATGTAAACCCTGTCACCTTCCCTGCATCCCTCCCTGCATCCCTGAGTGAGGGAGCAAAAGAGAGAGAGGTAAGTGAGAGTGTGAGAAAGGGAGCGTGTGAGAGGGAGGGAAAGGGGGCAAGAGTGAGAGGGAGCAAGTGGAATATATCGAGTGAGAGTGCGGGAGCAATACAGAGAGATGGGTGAGAGTGTGACAAACTGATGGGTGAGAGTGTGACATTCTAGATTTGAAGCTTTCGTGACTGCAAGGATTCATACTCTTAGTTCTTTCGGTAAAGTCACGTAGGTAAAAAATGAAATTAATAAAATAAATAATAAAATAATGCACCAAATCTGGCTGTGACGGTCCCACCTGATGATGGAGACTTGTGTTGCCTCCGAATCGTCGTGATTTTTATTTTATTTTATATAAATTTTTATTTCATTTTTTACTTACGTGACTTTACCGAAAGAACTAAGAGTATGACAGTGTGACAAACTGACATTGTGAGAAAGTGAGAGAGAGGTAGGGGGAGCACGGGGTCTCACAGAAGAAGTCGTCGTCCTGGGGCTCCTCCACCTCTGTGTAGACTTTCCTCTCGCGCGGGCGCAGGCCGTAGCGAGAGCGAGCGCTGCGCGACACCGCCACAGCCTGGGCGGAGGCCGGCGGCACGGAGGAGCCTGCAGGCAAACACGGCGAGATGTTGACTACCTCTCCTGGTATACGGGAGGTCGCAGATTCCATCCCGACCCTGACGAAGCCTGCTGTATATTTGGAGTCTGCGTGTCTCTCTCTCCTCTGTGGCGAGATGTTAACTCCCTCGCCTGGAATACAGGAGGTCGTGGGTGCAATCCCGACCCTGACGACCCACGCTGTATATTTGGAGTTTGCATGTTGTACCTCCCCGTGGTTGCGTGGATTTTTCTCCGGGTCCTCCGGTTTTTCCCCTCGACATTTAGAATCAACGTCACGTGTTGAGAGTATTTGGCTGCTGTAAATGTCCACGTAATGATGATGATGACAAGTCACTTCGTTGAGCTCTCATTTGTGATAGCCAGGTCGCTTCTGAAAAACATCTACACAGCTCAGTGCGGCTTACCCTGGTAAAAGAAACATCGCTTAGTTTATAGGCTGCATCAGTACCAGCAGCAGCACTGACAGGAGCACATGTAGCAGTAGCATCAACAGCAGTGGCGACTTCCATCAGCAGCCACAGAAGAGTGCGGAGTTCCGGTGAGGATAGAGGGGAGTGTGGAGTTCTGGTGAGAATAGAGGGGAGTGTGGAGTTCTGGTGGGAATAGCAGGGAGTGTGACGTTCCAGTGAGAATAGAGGGGAGTGTGGAGTTCTGGTGAGAATAGAGGGGAGTGTGGAGTTCCGGTGAGAATAGAGGAGAGTGTGGAGTTCCGGTGAGAATAGATGGGAGTGTGGAGTTCCGGTGGGAATAGAGGGGAGTGTGGAGTTCTGGTGTGAATAGAAATCACCGCTGCAGGCTACGCACCTCCACGTATCCTCTGGAGCGCCACCCTCAGGGCCTCCTTGCAGGCGGTGGCTCTGCGCTCCAGCCTGAACATCGCCATCCTGGCCTTGTGCACCTCCCTCAGCTCAAATCCCCTGAACTCCTCCTCCTGCTGCTGCTCCTCCTCCACGCCCTGCAAGATGCTCCACACGTACTCCAGGGCTTTCGCTTTAGTCTGAGCGGAGGGGGCGGTGGGGTGAGGGGGCGGAGGGGGTGTGGGGGGCGGAGTTGTTGCGGTGACCAGCGGTGGCTAGGAGATGTTAACTCCCTCGCCTGGTACGCAGGAGGTCGCGGGTTCGATCTCGACCCTGACACCTCATCGGATTCCTCCAGTACAATACATATTCTAATTCTGATATTCTGATTCTGTAAATCTGATTCCATACATCAAGCAGAACCATGCCGTCATGCTGAACCTCGGTGGGTATGGCAGGCCAAGCCTCTTCACAACTAAACTAATGAATAAACTAATTATAATAATAAGCCCAGACGTTGTACCAGAGTGCCATGCAGAGGGGGCATGGTAGCTAGGAGATGTTAACTACCTCGCCTGGTACGCAGGAGGTCATGTGTTCGATCCTGACCCTGATGTGGTGGTCGCTGCGTGGATTTTTCTCTGGGTCCTTCGGTTTTTCCCGTCACATTGAGAATCCGGATCGCTCGTTTTAGAGTATTTGACTCCCGCTAGAAATATCCACGTGATGATGATATCAGCCGCTTCGTTGAGCTATGAGTTGTGATAGCCGGGTACCGCTTGTGAAAAAAAGAGCGACTCTGTAGCTCAGTGAACCGTGACTCTGAGCTCCGTAACCTCCGAGTCTGCGATGGGACATCGACGTCTGCCCGTCTCGTGGAGTCTGCGCGCGTTGCAAACCCAGTGGTCATTGTCACCGTGGTCACGGTGTCTACGCTTGTCTACGCCCTTCTCAGGTTCTGTTCTATCACCTCGGATCCTAGAGAGGAGTGGCGAACAGTCTCGTGTGTACGTGTTGTGTGTGTGTACGTTAGGTGTTTAGTGTATAGTAATGTAGTGTATATTAGTGTATAGTGTAGTGTATAGTAGTGTATCATGGTGTAGTGTGTCGTGTAGTATTTAGTCATGAATAGTGTAGTGTATAGTAGTGTATCATGGCGTACGTCTCGTCTGTACGTGAGGCAGCGATAAGCGCGTGCCTGTTCCTATTTCTCTGTAATGATTGGAATTATACAGAAATTACATTTATAACACGGATCAGTGGAACATTTCTTTTTACTTTTCGTAACAGCTATTTTCATTGGAGTATATGACAGGCGAGACTCTGCCTCGCCTGCCTCCCCTGACCGCACGTCCCTGATATAGCAGTGTTTAGTAGTATGTATGTACGTTGAATTTATTTGGCACCGTACGTAGCCATCCTCGTTAATGGGAGGTGAGGGGGAAGGACAACAAACTAAAGACAACAACAGCAGCAGCAGCTGTAACGAGAGGAGTGCCGTGCGCTGTGCACAGAGACCTTGCGCTTGCTGGGAGCTGCCCTCGCGTGCCACTCTCCCACGGTGGCCCAGCGTGAAGCAGCCCCCTTGCCTCCTCCTGCGTGAACACACGCACACACGTAAACACACACACACACGTGAACACACTCACGCACGTGAACACACTCGCGCACGTGAACACACGCACAAACACGTGAACACACACACGTGAACACGCGCACGCACGTGAACACACGCAACAACAACAGCCATTCGCCACTAATTGGCGGTGACATCACCACGACGTTTGTGCCAGGCCATGTGCACCTTGAGGCCACGTGAAGTGTAGAACGCCCGCTGGCAGGAGGTCACGGGGCAGACCTAGGCGCCACGGGTCGATTGACTAAGATGACCGAGATGAATGGCTGATGCACCACCTGTGCCCCCTACTGTGCCAACTTGCTGTGCTTTTGCCACCCGGCGCTCCGCTCATTGTTGTGAGCGTCGCTCCTCCGCCCTCCGTTGTTGTTGGAGGGCGTCCTTCACGAGCCTCCTCCACAGAGCCCGATCTTGACACCGCTGGTACCAGTCCTTGGCAAGTCCACTCAGCTCCATGTCCTCCTGTACCACATCACTCCATCTCTTCTCTAGCCCGTGTCACGCCTGTTTAGCCCCCTCGATCCGGCCGAACAAAAGCTGTTTAGGCATGCAGTGGCTGGGCATGCGGGCTACATGACCCAGCCAATGCAGCCTTGCCTGCCGGAGGAGCTCACCGATGGGACTTTGCCCAGATCTTTCAAGGATTTGTGAGCTCCTCACACAATCCAGCCTGGTAAAACCCAGGATGGATCGTAGGCAGGCCAGCCTAAATGTTTCTAACCAGCGAAGATGCTCCATTAGGGGGGTCCACGTTTTGCAAGCGTAGAGAAGGAAGGGAATGACTGTGGCCGAGAAAACCTGAAGCTTCGTGCGGAGTGACAGACCAGGTAGCTTCCACACAGCGTTACGCAACCGATGAAAATATATTGCCGCTTGACTGATTCGGAGTGAGACCTCTGCTGTTAAACTGGAGCCGGTCATAAGCACACTGCCCAGGTATGGGAAACTCTCCACTCTCTCCACAACTGCCCCATCACTGATTGGGAGTGAGTTGTATGGGTGGAGTGTCCAATGGTACAAAATACCCAGGCAGGTGCTTAGTTTTTGGTGGGGCTGATGGTAAGGCCCCACCTCCTAGTGGCATTCTCCAGTCTCAGCAGCAGCGTCTCCAACTCCTCCTCTGAATGAGCAGCTATTACTACATCATCGGCATACATAACGTGGTTGACCAATAGGGAGCCATCCCTTGATCGCACCCAGGCATCGATCAGCCTCCCATTATATCTACCAAATGGAAATTCCCTCGGTACAGCTATTGAAGGCTTCACGAACTACGTGGTCAAAATTGATGTTAAATAATGTGGGAGCCAGAGGACATCCCTGTCACACCCCAAGGTGTACAGGGAATGGCTCCGACTCCCGGCTACGTAGTTTTACCCGGGCCCGCTCACCATCATTAAGGTCCTTAATGATCGTGAGCAGAGGGTCAGGGACTCCGAAAGCACGAAGAACAACCCAGAGCCCAGGCCTACTGATGGTGTCATAGGCCTTGACCAGGTCAATAAAGCAGAGATGTAGGTCTTGTTGGAATTCCCTACACCTCTGCTGTAGCAGACGGACAGAAAATATGGCATCTGTGCAGGACCGCCCTTTCCTGAAACCGCATTGGGGATCCGCAAGCCTCTCCTCAGCGTGCCTAGCAAGGCGATGTTGAATAATCCTTGCCAGCACCTTTCCCGGCACACTGAGGAGTGAGATGCCCTTGTAGTTGTTACAGTCTGTACGGTCCCCCTTCTTAAAGAGGGGGACCACCAGGGCATCCTTCCAATTCTGCGGTACCCGTCCAGTGGTCCAGACTGTTGTTATGATGTCATATAGGGCAGTCTGTGCACAAACGCCACCCTCCCTCATCATTTCGCTTGGGAGATCATCTCTGCCCGGTGCCTTTCCTGGTCTCAGACTCCGGATCGCCTTCAGTACTTCCTCAACAGATGGCATCTCAGCCAGCCACTCACAGAGGGTGACTTCTTCCAATATTTGAGGCACCACAGCCTCAGCAGGGTCATCCCCACTTTGTGCCATGATGTTTTCCTGGCTGAGGGATTTCCCCTCCCCCAGGACCTCACAGAAATGCTCAGCAAATCTGCAAACCTGTTCCTGGGGGTCGGAGATTGGATCACCGTTTTTTCCCCTAATGATGGTAATCGGTGTGGCGCTGGAGGTTACTTTTTTGATGGAGTTAAATAGTGATTTGTGATCGTGGGCCACTGAGGCAGACTCCATCTCCTCAGCAACCCGTGACCACCACCCATCCTTGCAGCGCCTTACGGCTCTTCAACCCTCCGAGCGAAGGTTGCGGTAAGCCTCCTCATTGTCTGACGTGGGATGCTGGAGCCGATGAGAGTGGGCCTGTCACTTTTTCTCAACTATCCTGAACACCTCCTCTGTCAGCCAGGGTCTCTGGGGAGTTCTGGAACGCGTACCCAAAGCAGCCATTGCAGCTGCATGAGTCACAGTCCTAAACCTCGCCCATTTACCCTCGACATCAGGAAGACTGGGGGATGATGCCACAACCCCAGCCGCAAGCGATGATGAAATTCTCACTTGCAACTTTCATCAGCTAACTAAAACCAGGCCACTTTAGGTTGGAATGGGGTCCTGGGTGTACACCCACCACCAGAGTGGAAGAATGGCAGGCGCATCTTACAGATGACTAGTCGATGGTCAGAGGGCAGATCAGCTCCACGGTACAGTAGGTCCTGGTGTCAAAGACATGGGTTCGCATCCGCTGGTCCATCACTATGTAGTCCAGCAGATGTTCTTGCTTGGACCCGGCATGCATCCATGATGTTGTGTGGATGCGCCGATGTCGGAAGAGCGTGTTGGTAATTACAAGCCCATGGGCTGCACAAAAATCTAGCAGCCTCCTACCGTTGTTATTGAACTGATCTGGCCCATGCCCTCCAATCACTCCAGACCAGGTGCCAGTATCATGACCAACTCGGGCATTGAAGTCACCCAACAAGATGACTCTATCCCGAGTGGCCACTTTAGCCAGTACCTGTGACAGGAGGTCATAGAAGGCATCTGAATCATCGGCT